CACCTGCAGAGAGTGGTAAAGACTGTGGAGAAGATCACCAGGACTCCACTGCCCTCTCTGCAGAACATTTACCATCGCAGGGTGTGTAGGAAAGCTGCCTCCATCCTCAAGGATCCCACCCACCCCCAGCACGGACTGTTTGCCTCCCTAACCTCTGGCTGGAGGGTCAGAAGTGTAAAATGCAGGACCTCTAGACTGAAAAACTCTTTCTTTCCCTCTGCCATCAGACTCCTAAACAGCTGAGGAGTTTATTACCAGGAAATACATCATGTACTGTTGACCTGTACTGTTTACATTCTCAGTTTGCACATGCATAATTGCACATTGACTGTTGACTGCTGCACATGCTTCTCCCATGCAGCATACATTCTCTGTTATATTCTTATATATTTTTATTATAATGCTGCATTTGCTGCTTAAAGTGCTTTAGATTTTGTGTTACTTATTTATCTACTTTATATTTCATTTGTATTTTGTGGCATTCATGTGGACGGCAAAGTAAGAATTTCATTGTACAGGGAAACACGTTTCCTAACTGTGCATATGACAAATAAACACTTTGACCTTTGACCTACAGTGCAAGTACCTATATGCTAATGCACAAGTTAAAGGTATCACCATAAATCATTTTACAGCATGAAACTGTGAATCATGTCACCTTTGTCAAAGAGCAATTCGCTGGAAGCCACGTCAAATAAATTGGTCAGGAAGTTTATTCTACATCTGAGCAGCGTAAGAATTAAAGGCGGCTTCACCGTATTTAGCCTGAACCCTTGGGATGACCAGTGATCTAAGGCTGAGACCTGGGACCCAAATCAGTTGATGAGTTTTTCAGACAGGAGGGGGTCATACTGTTTCCAGCAGCAGGCACAACTGGACAAAAATCTCAGTCGCCCCAGAAACAACCCGGGTCAGCCTTCGTGCAACGTGCTGCCAGTCGAATCAAACATTTGCTGTTTTGATCTAATGTTATTGTTTCAATTCATTTTAGTTTTGTGTTATTTTAAATCAACTGATTTTCACCTGAACTACTTGAATCCAGGTTAAACCATGTAAATCACTTAGTGCATTTGTTCTGAAGCTGCCCTATAAAATAAAGGACATGTTTACACTGTGGCTCATTTTTACTGTAAACCTGGAGCTGTGGAGACAGATGTGGCGGCTTTGCAGTGAAGTAAAATTACAAACACCAAAGAAAGCTTGCTCTTATTGTATGGACATGCTTTTATATCGGCAGTGACGCCCCCAGACCTACTGTAGCTCCGAACTCAGCCAGTGCTTGGATTTTAAACTCAAAGACCCAAAGGACTAAATGACAAGTGTCAAATGACAGTGGCTTGAATCTGTTACGGAACAATGTGTTTTTTGTTTCAACATATTTTTGCTTTCTGTTCTCACTCAAACAATATGACATGAGCCTGATCCAGAAAAAGCCAATAAACAGAACCAGAACCAGAACTGAACAAGCCTGGAGAAAGACTGACAGATATCAGACTGTAAGGCTCTGTGGACGGAGAGGTCTCAGCCGCCGACTGATCTAAAGAACATTTGTCACAGCAGGAAGACAGAGGGAGCGAATTTAATAAGAGGAGGAAATGGGGAGTAAAAGGAACGATGCAGCAGCAGGAGGCAAGAGGGAACTCCTCGACTCTGAAATCCTCTGGCGACCATTCGTCTGCAAGTAAAGGAAGGAGAGATGGAAGACGAGGTGAAGAAATGATGGAAGAAGAGGAAGAAAGACAGATGGCAGAGATTATGAAGGGATGATGGAGGAGGAAAAGGTCTGCAGCTGTTTGGAGCTTTGACAAACATTCATTAGAAATTTATGGAAGGATGAGGAGTCTGGAGCCGCACTGATGAGATGGATAGAGCGAGAGGCCATTTCACAAACACCCACAGAGTCTGACCAAAGAAAGAGAGAAATCGAAGAGGACAAGGAGAAGGAAAGATGAAAAACATTAAGAAGTTGAACAAAGACAGAACGGAACCGAAAGAGACAAAGAAACTGAAAGTGTTGAAGATGAGAGAGAAAGACGGAGGAGAGGACAAACTCCTCAACTGTTCTAAGGCCTTGGGCAAAAATCTGACAGACAGGTAATGAAGAGGAAGTTGACAAGCTGTCCAGATGACGAAGAAGGAGGAAATACGAGGAAACCGGGATGGTGGAGGTAATGAAAGAAGATGATGGAGGACAGAGGAGACTCTTCAGCTGCTGAATCCTGACAAACATTCATCACAGCATGAAGCCAAAGGAGAGAGAGAACAGCAGCAAGGGTCAAGGTAACAATGGGGGCACAGAGGAGGGAGGAGGCGCCTTCCCTCCACATAGACGTTAATCACAGGAGGAGTCCGGGACTTCAGTGCAACAGTAATGTCTTCTACATGTGTTCGGCCTTCATCCAGAAACGAACACTAAAACGCAGCCCTGAGTAAACCCTCGGTTCCTTCCTAACTCACCTACTTACTGTACAGGTGGCTCAAAATCAGTGCTGGTTCATTTAGGGAGGACTAAACTAGTCTCAGCTCGCCTCTTGTTGCATTTAAACAGCTGCAGCCACAGGATGTAGGGACTGTAAGTACGGTGGTGGCTGATAACACGAGATCTGTATTTGTGCGCAACCTCTCTCCAACATATCAGATGTTTAATCCCCAAACATTTTCACCATCAGGGTGCTCTCCTGTGACCAGTCTGCACCACAGATTCATCTTCATATCACTAGACCTATGCAAGCACAAAGGTTTTCAGGACACAGTCACTGACATCAATGCACGAGCATGAATCCAGTGTAAGAGAAAAAACAGCTGCATCTGAAAAGCCACAACCTCCAGGCTCCAGGTTGTCCACAGCCATGTGAGACAGCAGAGACGTGGAGCTCCAATCTGTTATCTCCGACAAAGGAGCCAAGTCCAGCCTCAGATAAACACCACCTCCATATGGACAATTTATGAAAAGTGTCCACAAGAGACGTTCCGAGAAACGGTGCCTGGAGAGAGTCCTGTCAAATCATCATTTAGAAAACAGTCGACACCTCCTGCACATGACAGGCTGCTGTGTTTTCACCAGCAGCTCGAGACGCACAGAGGCTAATTTATTCATTTATTACCAGTTCACCTCTTCTACACAGTCTCCCAACACACAGGGAGAGAGAACTCAGACAGACTGAAGCCAGGCTTCAACTCTGCCTCCATGTTCTCACAGACTGTAGATAATTACAGCTGCTCCCATGAGCCTGCGTTCACCTCCACCAATCAGAGGCCGCCTGACACCAGCCTGCAGACTGCACAGCCGCTCAGAGCGCTGGTAACCTCTTCACCTCGCTGCTCCTCCTTCCTTCTAGAGGTTTGGTTTTCACATGCAAAGTGTAGTTAGAACATTTCCACCTTGCTTTACTGTCACACACAGTGTACATCGTGTAGCACTACACTGAAACTGTGAAATCGTCAAGCTGGGAAACAGGACGCCACTCGTGATTTGTCCATGGTGTCAACATCAACAGCAGGACAAGTCTTTTGCTATAAGGCAGGGCGCTCAACGTGTGACACTGTGGTCCTGTCCCAGACCATCTGGAGACAATGCTCTGCAGTCTCTGCAAGGCAGTAACCCTAACGCTGCAGCGGGGCCGGCCGTGCCCCATTTGTTTACATTTTGGCAAAGCGTCTCCATTAACAGCAGCAGAATGATCAGTGATCAGCTCCTGTGTGCTGTGCACTCCTGGGGTTACAGGCAACTCTCACTGGATTACTGCGGCACTGAAGAGCCTCTATTTGACCTCATGTAGTGTCTTTGCATCACCTCTCTCCCCCACGCTCCTCCCTCGGCTCTGTTCAAAGTCAGAAGGCCAGTTTGTCCGTCTGTGTCACTTTCAGCCTGCGCAGAAGCTGTTTACACCGTTGTGCAGATACAGTAGGTCATTCTTCTGTCTACAGGCAGATCTTGTCTAAGTTTATTGTTCCATTGTATATTTGCAAGGTGTTATGGGTAGCCAAAGCGCAGAGGAAGAGGGGAGAGCTAATTAAAGGTCATACCACAGAGCTGAGTCATGTAATGGTGCCCCATTGTAGCCTTTGTTTGGTGAACTGTGGTAATATTGCTGAGTATTGCATTGTATCTGTGTGACTTTGTAAATGCGGGCGCCGGCATGTTACCAGGGCTGCCTTGAGAAAGAGAAACCTCAGTGGGACTTACCCTGGTGCAACGAAGACTCAATTTCAAAAGTCACAGAAACATGCAAACTAAAGAATCTCTCATTCTGAGCAGGTCCTTCTGTCCAAACTGTTTCCTCTGGAAAGAAGTAGAACAGATTTCACTGCTGCACGAACAGTTCAGCCTGTTTCCAGCACAAATAAACTTCTTTCAGGAATTTTTTGAGAAACGAGCTTCAGTGCCAGACACAGTGAGGGAGGACTGATCCTCTCAGACAGGCTTTCACTTTTATGTGCAAAGAGTTTGACTGTGACTGGAACATTTCCCTGCTCTGTTAAAACCTGGTGTTGAAGACGTCGCCCTCGCCTGCCTCCAAAGCCCCTCTAGTTCTACAGCTCATCACTTTACAGTGTTAACAGGGCACGTGCACACTCACACCATGAGCTCAGCACCTGCCTCAGACCTTCCTCTGGGTCCACATGCAGAGCTCAGATCGGTCTGTTAGTGTATATGTAGTGTTAATCACAGCTGATTTCAGCTCGTATCACACTGTCACTCAGGGTTTTGATGCCTGTGAAAGAAGATGTGCTCCTTTAAAGCACTTTCATTGGGCTTTTGGCGACTTCAGATGGCAGAAAACTGCATTCCTGGAGCTGTTTTCTCATTTGGCATGTTCCTTTTTTACGGAGAATAACAAAGCAAACAAAGCCTCACATCTCATGTTCCGTGCACAGCTGCACAGGAGCGCACAAAGCTGCAATCCAGGAGATTTCCCTCCAAACGTTACCCAGTGGATCAGAGCAGAAAAATGTAGAGCAAAGGTTGAGGACAACTCTCTTCTCTTTACCATCTCATTGTGAATACACAAACGTTTCATATGTTTTGTTCAGAATACCTGTAAAAGCTGTCCATGTGTTACAAGTCACCAAGTCAAAGCTGTGCTCCACTCAGAATTATCCTGGGTCCAGATGCCTAAATTGCTATTACTGTACCCATAAATCACCATAATGTGCATACTGGGGAGACTGGACCCCTGCTGGGAAACTACACAACGAGGGAACCATATCAGAACCATGTCGTTCTGGTTGTGCATGAAGGACATCTCACTTCCATAGGAGCGAGGAGGCTGCCGGCAGAGCCGTGATTCTTGGATTAATGGCCTGAAGGCTTCTGTCCTACTTAGTTTCATAGGGGTTTGATGGAGACAGACAGACTGGGGACAGTCAAGGGACTTCCACACACACAGAGGCATGTATGGATGAAGACGTATGCAATGATATAGGTGCATTAATGTGCAGACAGATGTAGGCACACACACAGAGCTGGACGGTGATCTGGCCAGGCCAAACATCTGTCTGTCAGATCGACAGAGAGGAGGCGGTGTGTGAAATTAGCAGGGATTGTCTCAGACTCTAGAGACAATAAAAGAAACAGAGTCAAACAGAGAAGGTGAAGAGACTGAGAAAAGCAGACACACTGGTGCAGGGTTTTTCATCCAGCTGTGACCCAGCGACCACCATCCTGACTAAGATGGAACCTGAGGACCACTGTTGTGGCGTGGAGACACCAGATGGGTAGAAAGTCACCTGAGCTTCTCTAAATATGATATATGTGTTTACAAAGTAAAATGAAACAATAATGATTCTTACAGCGAAACTACATGGTCAGAGACCACCGGTGGACCATGGACCACTTGTTGAAAACCCACATGCTGGTGTATATCTGTTTGGACAACAGCGCGGTGAAAATCTAAAAACAGTATGATCTGAAACTTTAGGGAACGCACTGCAGGCGTCCCTGAGCGTGTGGTCACGTTGTCTGACCGCACTGTACTTTGCACCTTGTGGTCTGGACTGGCAGTAGGACCCATCAGGGCCGAGTCTCCAGAGCTTTGTCAGGTCTCCTCTGTTAGGAGGAGGAAACCTCCTTCTTCCAAACCAGATCCCCTCTCTGTCCGACCCGCTGTGTCTGACCCCCCTGTGTCCAACCCACTGTGTCCAACCCACTGCGTTGTCCTCATGAAGCCATTCAGTGACCTAGAGCTGCAGCCATGAGTCAGTTCACTGGTAGAAAATGAACCTCAGCTATTTAGAAGCAACAGTCACCAACATGTTAGTGGGTCCCATCAGGGCCTAGTCTCCAGAGCTTTGTCAGGTCTCCTCTGTTGGAGGAGGAAACCTCCTTCTTCCAAACCAGATCCCCTCTCTGTCCGACCCGCTGTGTCTGACCCCCCTGTGTCCAACCCACTGTGTCCAACCCACTGCGTTGTCCTCATGAAGCCATTCAGTGACCTAGAGCTGCAGCCATGAGTCAGTTCACTGGTAGAAAATGAACCTCAGCTATTTAGAAGCAACAGTCACCAACATGTTCTGGTTCCACCTTCTTTAATGTGAGGAGCTGATGCTTTTCTTTGTCAGACATGAGAATCAGCTGAGTCTCTGTGGGTCTGTTGGTTGGACACAATGAGACGTGTGGAGACGCCACCTTTGGCTCTGGAGAGTCACAGGTGATGTCAAACTGGAAACAGCTGTAAAAATAAAACTCTGTGTCGCCTGTCAGCCATATGACCACGTCTTTCCTGCTCACCTCTACCCATTTTCACAGTCTTTCCCTGCATGTTCAGGTGCTGGGCAGCTGCACTAAGAGGGAGCAGTCTGCAGCTAACTGCCAAGCACGTCCAAAAGGCTGTGAACCCCTGACTGAAGGCAGACGTCACCACATTTAGCCAACCCCCACATGTACCTGTTGGCCATGCAACATTTTGATGCATTAAGTCATTAATGCATTAAGGTGGGTGCAGCTTGTCATCCATGCTGGGGTATAATGATGGTCACCCTAAGCCTGAGCACAGCCCACAATGTGATTGGGGTATAATGATGGTCACCCTAAGCCCACAGCCCACAATGTGACGTCTCTTAATCTTACTTTATCATGTTGCTGTAAATTCTTTGTACCATTCAGTTAAACATTGCACGTGAACTCACCAAAACGTCTGCAGCTGACAGCAGAGATGCACATCCAGTAAACTTATCTGGACAAACAACATGTGCGCTGACATTAATTCCTTGAACTTACTGTTTTCAATCTTAAGGTTTATATCTGTATTAAAGTTATTGTTCACAAAGTGCTTAAGAACAATATGAACATGTGGACGTTAAGTTTTAAAGATGAAGCGCACACGTCACTCTCCTAAGACAAGCATCAAACAGCATCTGTTGGTGAAAGTCGTTTTATGACAATCAAAACCAACATTTTGGTTTAAGTTGAAACAGTTTAAGATGGGAAACGCACAGAAACGCTGAGACCGGAGCCAAGCATGTGTCAGATGGCGTGTGACGTGTGCTGAGACTCGGCTCCTGCTCCAGTCTCTCATCATAATGCACCGCCTCTCCCCCGTCACCTCTGATCCTCTTACGATCCTGCTAATACACATTAATCTGCTTTTCAACCAGGTTCATTTATCAGGGGCAGGCTGAAGAGGAAAGCTGTTTTCTGCCGGCGTCTGTGTGTCAGGTCAGGTTTCAGAGTCCGTGACACTCAGTGACTCTCAGCTAACAGTGTGTCACTCCTCCATCGCCCCCCAGAGGTCATGGATGACGTGCTGTTGTTGACATTTCATCTCATTTTCACCTGCACAGGTGTTGTTTAATTTATTGTTTCTTGTTTATTTCTGTGTCATTGATTCCCTCAGAATTTCACATTGTTCTTTTATAATGAACTCTCAGTTTTTAACATCTTCTTCACAGTTTTTCTTACACATTGTAACTCAAATGTTTAAATTATTTTTATTTCTTTAGTTTGTTGGTCATCACCTTATTATCATTGTAATACAGTAAAGATACAGACAGGAAACACGAGTGGACGGGGATATGACACAAGGTAAGAACCGAGGACACTGACACTCACCGCTTCTAATCTGTTCTCATGTCACCTTATGTAATTTAAAGGTACCAGTTCGTGGACACGCTCGTGGAACAACGCTGTGTGTGTGTGTGTGTGTGTGTGTGTGTGTACTTACTTGGGGTAGTTCATGCAGTAGAGTGTGTAGATGTCAAAGGCTTCACTCTAAACAATAGAGAGGACACAGTTAACATCAGAAGACTCTGTCACTCATCCCTCACTTCAGCAGAGACATAAAGAGTCAAACAAGCACATTAGATAAATGTCAGGTTCTTTAAAGGTCAACCTCGTAAAGACTAGAATGACGGAGGCGTCAGACTGTAGGATGAACCGCGCAGAGTTGAGCTAGCTTCGTTATAAGTGAGCGCATCTTTGACAGACTCTTTGACGTTTCTTTTGTTTTTAGGTTGTTTTTGGCTTTAGGTAAGTCTCTCCTCAGGTCACCTGCTCTATCCAGTGGCACGTGTATGTGCAAACCCGAGAGTGGAATCGTGTTTGAATGTGGAAATTAAAACACAAGCTAAATCGAACATGTAATGTCCTTCATCACCGCCAACAGTGTGACCACCAGCTGACCATCAGCTGACCTGCTTCACCTGCTCCTTCTGACACCT